AGACAGAAATTTTGAAGTGAATTATCAATCATTTTATGTATTGCTCAGGAGAGCTCATAGTGATGGTCTATTGCAAGGATTTCCTAAAGGAAAAGCCAAGCAAAAGCTCACAAAGCCATCTTTTAAAGAGCAAATTGTGCAATATCCTGTGATTCTCCACATTCCCCAAAACAGGGAAGTCAAAATCAAAGAACACACTTGGCAAGAGAAGGTTGTACATTAAATCCTCTCCATTAGTTCTTTCCTATATAGAACAGTTGGATCCTTCACTCCTGAGTACTTCTAAGAAAAAAAATTGGCCCAATCACCTCTAATAATGTTGGAGAGAAAACTTTTTTAATAGAGAAGGGGTTAAGAAATGGGGTTCCTAACATGACTGAGAGAAAAAGTCATATATGGTCATGTCATGAATAAAAATGAAACCTGGTAATCAAACTGACTGCTTACTTCAAATCAGGTTTCTTGGCAGTTTTATAAACATTGAAAGCACTAGACTGTATCTATGAGCATTAATGTATTCTGTAAAAAGTAGCTTCCTCTTGAATAGTCATGCATAGATTGAGATCCTTTGATGCAGCACCGTCTCCTCAAAGCATCAAAAATAAACATTAAAGAAATTCATTGTAAATCGTTTTAATCTACTTGCAGCTCTTTTTACTCAGCTTCTCATTGCTAAATGTGTGTTTACAATTAAAGCTTTTATCTGAACTGTGTGAAACCCTAGAGGTTCAGAAATGGCAACTGAGAGCCAAGGCTGTACCTGTAGCCTGGCTTGGACTTTTCACACTTCCCTGCAGCTAGATTGCCCATCTCTCCAGTGCCAGAGCTCCTGCCTGGGACATGTTCCTAGGGTTTCTTGCTGTGCAGAAGTTGCTAAGGGTAGATGCTGCTGCACCACTGAGCCTCACCCCACCAGCAGTCAGGATGTGGCTTCAGGCATCAGCCCAGAGCAAGAACTCAAACAGGCCCCTGGGTTCCCTAGAATAATTAGTTCCCTAGACTGATATGTCACACAGTCATACTCTGTAACTTGCATCAAGACAATGGCAAAAATGGTCCCCATAAAAAGCTGTTAGCATCAAAACTTATGAATCTTAAAGGAAGATATGCATAGCTGCTATATTTAAATTTAATAGCTTCAGCGGGAACCCCTGAAAACCCCCAAATCATCATACAAAACATGTACTAGAAGGTATCAAACTAGGGAGCATTAATTTCAGTGGAAATAAGAAAAGGCAGTCATCAAAGGAGAAAGAGAAAAACCTTTGGGCAAGAAAATACACCCATCTTGTCAGTGATAGCAGCCAAACCCTGGATTTTGCTTATTTCTCTACAATTGGCTCTCTATGAAGATGCTTGTTCTGATCTAGGGATGTCACTTAACAAGAACTAAAATGCTTTAGAAAAGTCATCTGATCCTTTGTTTCTATGCTACAGGAGTTTTTTATCTACTCAGAAATTCAAAGTAAAACCAAAAATTATCCTAACAATAGGATATAGAAAACTGGAGCCCTGAAACAGGACATAACTGGCAATTCACAGCAAGTTTTAACCAAATGAAGGTAGGATGCTCACAGTCTTTGTGACAGAGTTTGTTTCAGCAGCTCTGGTTTTGACCATGCCTCAATGGCCTCACAGCTCTGAAACAGAAACCAGAACATGCCACCAGAATGAGGCAGCATGTGGAAGGAAAGAGCTGGTTGGAAATTAACAGCAGAAAATAGCAGAGGGGATAAAAAACAGGTTCTGTTTCTGAACATCTTTATCAACATTCTTTATCAAATGATAAAGAAATTGCTTTTGAAAATCTATCTATTTATGAGCATAAATAGGGAATTATGCAGTCATATTGGGAGAGGATGAGAGAGACCAACCCAAACTCGGCCACAGCATTTGCAGGTAAGAGAAAATGACGTTGCAACAGACAGTGGCATTTAGAAAACCTACTCAAGCATTTAGAAGGCCTTTTTCAAAATTACAATGGCATTTTGAGCATCAAAAATTTAAAATAGAAATGCATGTTTATTCTGGTAAGCCATCCTGCCAAGGGACTTAACTGGTAAATCTTGCATACCTGCATTAGGGAATAGTGCCAGGAATTCATCCCCTATCCTCTGCAGCCCTATAATGGAAAATAAAGTTAGTGCCTATCTACATAATCACAAAAGTGACAGCCTGTGTGCATGCAGGTTCTTAAAACATTCGATAAGAAAATACAATTTAGGCAAAAGGCTTCAGTGATACCACTCCAGAGAAGCACTCCTGTGGGAACCTCTGCAAAATGTCTCATCCAAGACTTCAAGATACATTCTTTTGGAACACCATTGTGCCCCACACCCCTGTCCCTCAGCTGGGCAGGCTGGCCCAGGCTTCCAGGCCATGTCTCAGCAGGCAGCAGCACAATCTCCACTGGCCCCAGATGTGCCAGGGAGCAGGGAGGTGACACAGGCATCCCTCAAAACAAATCCTCATCTACCTAAAACAGTCCTTGTGGCTGGAGAGGAGAGTTTCTTGTTAACCATCACCATGGTCAAGATGCCACCCACGTGGTAAAAAAAAAATCCCAGTTCCTCTTTGGCCTTATCCAAATGAGCATATTATGTCAAAGAGGGAGAGTTGCTGGGGTTACAACTACAGAAACAGCATGACATTATGTTTGCTGCGTGGCTCAATCCTACCACCGCCTCCAGGCTCTCCCAGGCTCCTGAAGAGGAAGGCAGGGTGTTTCCTGCAGTGGGGGTCAGTCAGGCCCTGCCCCCACTGCCAGCCTGGGCCCCAGAGACACCATTTTGGGGTGATAAGTAAGGTGGTAGTGATGGAGAAACTCTTGTTCCTTGCCCTGTTCCTGGCGCAGGTCTGCAGGGCCACCCTGCCAGCTGGACACCACAGCATGTCCCTGTCCATATGGGCTGTCCAAGTCCACCTGAGCACAGACAGGATCAGTCCCAACACAGGCCAGCAGCTCAGACTCTGCAAACACCTGCTGGGCAAAAAGGAGAGGCCTAGGGCTGTTTAGAGGGACTTGGCCATGCCCTTCTTTATTTAAGGTTTTTCTTTAGTGGTTTTTCTGCAATATTCTCAGCATTTGCAATTTCCAATATTCTCAGCACTGGGGCAGATAGCTCCAGGCTAACTTGGAGGCAGACCAGAAAAAACTAAGCAGGTGCCACAGAATCTCTTGAACAAGTCTTGTGTAATGAAGACTTTTTTAGGAGTAACTTCTTGGCAGCAGTACCGGTCTAAGAAGTCACACACCCTATTCTGCTCATCCTGTGCTGCACCCTCACAAACATCTGTGCACCAAATCAAACCAAAGAACTGATGCAGTTAAAACCCCCTATTTTTGTGACTTTTTGCTTGACTGTTTGTAGTGAACTCCTTCCCCAGTCCATCTAGAGCAGCTACACAAACACAGGAGCCAGCAGATGACGGGGATGAGAAATCCTGTGTGAGTCAAACTGTCACCAAGCCCTGAGCGCTCGGGACTGGGGGACTGCCCTGAGCAGGACACATCAGCAGCCACCCCTTCGTGGGACCAGGGAGGTGACAGCACCTTGGCACTGGGCACTGCAGGGTTTTAAACCCGGAGCTTTGGTTGAGTCAGGAAGAAACAAGGTTAAACCAGCACAATACTGCAGATGACAGATCCCAAAGATCCTAAAGGAAAACAGCTCGGGATTTCTGCGACAGCCAGGCAGGAGGCAGCTGTTGTGTAGGGGAAACCACTGCAGGAGCCTACTGAGCAAATCTCATATTCTGATATGTGTTCAGATAAGTGGGTAGATTATATAAACACAAGGGAAAGTGACACAGCAATATATTCCTATCTACTTCTTCACACTGTCAGTGTGAATTTTAACTAATTCAAAATTAATTTAATTTTCAAAATAACTTTTAGGGAGTAAAATTGCAAAGTTGACCGGTCCACAACCAGATACAAAGAAACGTGCAAGTCCAGTTTTGTGTATTACATGGCATTCAACATTGCTCCTTCAACATTATTCCTTAAAGCCCACAAACTTTATAAAATACCCCAAAAAAAAGCCACTTGTACACTATCAACCCAACTTAGAAAATACTGTAGTCAAACATCAAGCAATTCCTATACTGAAAGCTCAGAGACCGAAAACACCAGCTTGCCAAGATCACAATCATATTGCTATCAAAACCAAAAATCTCATGGCAGGCTGTTTCCCCAGTCACCTGCACTAACCAGGAAAGTCTGTTTTGCTCCTTCGGTTTCACAAGAAAAAACTTTAGTCAGTACTATGTGGGGAGAAGAATTCTGTGGGAAAACCTAGCCAAGTGGCAATACAGATCCCACCAAGAAATACCTTTGTATGTCCCAAAAGCACATTGAACGTATCAAAATATATTAACACTATGTAGATGTACACTTAAAAAAAAATAACTACTAAGTTTCTTCCCTAGAACAGCCTTAGGTTATAAGCTAAACTGCAGAGAGGCCAAAGATACAGAAGGGGAGCAAACAGAGGCATCCTTCAAAGGTGCAGAATTCAAATGAATCAGCCCTTCAGGATGTCAACAACTGCCTACATTGTCCCTCAGAAGCAACTGGCTGCCTCCAAAATTCATCTCTATAGAGGAAAATATGGTTGAGCTTAAGACTGAGCAAAAAGTCCCAAGCTCAGAGATATCAGAGCCATAAAACAGTCAGCTGCCTGCACCTTGGGTGGGAACAGCCTTGCTGTGTCTCTGGGATTAGGGTTTTCTCCTGCCTTAGTTTAAAATCAGCGTAAGAAACATCTTTTTTTCTTTACAGTTACATTCAAGAGATTTTGAATTTTGAATTTTGGTTTTCCCTCGCTTTTACTGGGGAACCTCAGGAAAGGAAAAATTCCCACGCAGCATGTTCCCACCGGGCACAAATTCACCAGGAGCGGGGAGGAGGAGGGAACCAGGCCCTGCATCTCTGCCCGCCGGTGAAGTCCCCTGGGCTGGGCAGGTGACAGCGAGCAGGTGCCGGGCCCCGGCACGGCCCTCGGGGCTTCCCCCATCCGCCCGCTGCGCGGCCGCGCCGCCCCTCAGCCCCTCAGCTCCCCCGAGCCAGCGCGGCCCGGCGGCTCCAGCGGCAGGGGCGGATCAGCGGGGCCCCGCTCCCCTCAGCGCTCCCAAAGGCTCCTCCTCAGCTCCCGGCTCCGCAGCCACCTGTGCGCGCCCCGGGCGGGGCGGAGCCGGGCCGAGCCCCGGGTCCCTCCTCTGCCGGTGCCTGCGGGTGGGACGGGACGGGAGAGGCTCCGGCAGCGCGGCGGGACCCGGCGGAGGGCGAGCCCGGCCCGGGGAAGCCGCGGCGGCTGCTGCAGGTGCCGGGCCGAGGGCAGCGCGTCCCGGCGGGGCTGCGCTCACGGGCATGGACAAGCTCAACAGGCTGACGGTGCCGGCCGGGGAGAAGTTCAGGTAGGGGCTGCTCCGCTCCCGGTCTCTCCGGGAAGGCAGCGGTGGGACGAGCCGCTTCCCGCGGTGCAGCGCGGGGGGATTGGGAGGCGCCGGGGCACGAGGAAGTTGGCAGAAGTTTTAGAGGAAAAGAGAGTTGTACCCGCTGTGACCCGGCGGCCAGGGCGCCGCAAGGAAGTGCGGCAGGTAAACACGGGTCTGGAGTGCATAGCGCAGATTTCCAAGCAAAATGTGTGTCGGCTTCACCTGCAGCGCAAAAAGGGATATTTTCAAAGTGTCTATTTTCAAAGCTGTAAGGAAATAGTGTGTGACTCATTATGATGTATGAGTCTTATGCAAATTAGAAAAACTTAATTAATTGCTTAATGCTTTAATGTCTTGTGAAGATGGCTTTTGCAGTTAAGTTTTGTAATGTTTCCTAGTCTTCGAAAGAATTGGTGGAATAGAGAGAACTGGAAAACGGGAAATGTTCCTAAGTGAAGGAGAACAATGTTAAATACAGGGTTTGAGAGGAAAAAAGCAGAAGCTGGCCATTACTGAAGTATTTTTAGTGTGCGTCGATTCATGTGCTGCTACAGTCGGTACCTCGAGGCTCTTTCATCATGACTTTTTGTATTTCTGAATAGTTAAAAGAAGTTCTGTTTCAGATTAAGGTAACATGGAATTATTTTCCTCCTCTGAAAAAATAAGAATTTAATGCTGAAAAATATTTTTTTCTAAAGTAAGTCACACTTAAGCACTCAATACTAACTTATAAGCCCTTCTCAAGTCTCTCTCCCTCTCCCCAGAAACCATAATGCAAACTGGAATAATCCCTTGTAAAGCTGATTTTGATGGAATGTAGTTTATTGACACCTACTCTCTCCATACTGTGGCAGTGTTGTTCAGGGGGGTGTGACACGCTCCTCGGCCAGGCACAGCTAATGAAAGCCAAGCAGGCTGCATCCTAATCCCGGGCAAGGATTCTGTGGAGGGATCAGTGGACAGGAGGAAGAACGCAGGGAATTAACTTATTGTCTGCAATTTACCAGCCTAAATAGTGTGAACTGGTTTAAATGGTGTCAGAGCTCAGTATTGGTCTAAACTAGCTATCTTTAAATAACAAGCTGAGAAACGAGATGGAAAGCTTGATTCCATCCATTACTGGTACATAAAAAAATAAACTATGCACCCTCTGTCGTTATAAAATTGTAGCTGGGATTCTCCTTCTGCACTTCTGCAAACAATTAAAGCAGGATTACCTTCAAGTATCTAAAGTGGGTTTGTGTGTGAGGGTTATAATGGCCCACAACTTTTTGGTGAACTGGTTGAAAAGCCCTAAACCCGAAAGGCAGCACCACCCCTCTGCTGCACCTTCACATAGATGACACTCTGCATCTCATCTGAGGTTTTAATATTGTTGTAAAATAGGGAAGAGAAAGAAGTAGCTCTGCTTTCCTGTATTAACCTGAACTGTTGCAAGTTACTTTTTCTGTCCTCATGGCCAATTCAGCCTTTTTGTGCAGGGAAAGAAGGAGCACCTGTTTCTGTAGCATGTGAGCATTCTCACCACACGCAGTGGACCTGGCATGCTTTGACTTGAGCATGTTGAAATACTCCTTAGAAACCTGGATATTTGGCTACAAAATCTTACTAGGGTATCAGAATTTTAAAATCTGAAGGCAAAGCTTTCCATGAGTTGATATTCACAGGATAAATTTAAGAGATATGCAAATACAGGAAGCAATCAGTGTAATGTGGCAGCAGCCTTTTTCTCCATCTTTGAAACACTGGATACCCCCTCATGCTCTGTGACCTGTTGACAGTGTAGTTGACTTCCTAATTCCACACCTGTCTGCATGGAGCACATATAAGTGGTTCAGAGTTTGTACTGAATGTTACATGATCTAAATGGTTATGTCAAAAATGTACTTTTCTTCATACGCTAATATACAATGCCAAGAAACGTTCCTGCCAAACGCAGTTTAAATTTATGTGATTATAGTTTGCATTTTTAAAGACAACTTTCTTAAAATTTCTGCTTTGTAGCAGCAAAAGTTAAAAAAGCACTACTGTTGAGTCTGAGAGAGGATCTTTTGATTTTTTTAAGTATAGACCTGAAAAACTAGATGTTATGTGGTTTTGCTAAGCTCAGCTATTCTCCCTGGGTATAGTTGAGCCTACCAGACCTAGCTTTTTGTTGCATTAGCAAATCTTACATCAGATCTGAATTCATAACATGTTCCATTTGTTAAGTTTATTGCAAAAATAAGAACTATAAATGTTCTTACATGTCTGTCTGCCTAACATGTTGTGGTATGTCCGTTGTTTGCAGTTAAGCCACTCAACCAACTTCAGTAATTGTTGGACAGGAATGCTGAAACTTCATGGAATTCCAGTATTAATTTCTATACAGTGTTTCTTATAAAGCATGCACAGTATTATACAAATATTCCCTCAGAGTACATTGTGTGTTCTAACTGCTTCCTTATAGTCAGGAAAAGTTAATTCAAAGGCTTGGTTATTTATTGTGAGATAAACTAATATGTGGTGCATAGAAGTAATTTCATACTTTGAATTGTTTCCCAAAGAGTGGAGTGAATACATGAGCAATAGCCATACTGCCATGGCAAGCTCTAGTGTGCCTGGATTTCAGACTGAACTTCAGGGAAAAAAAGTTATGCTGCAAACATACAAAAATAGATGCACTCATGATCAGGGACAGTAGGCAGCATGGGTAATGGGAAGTTAGCAGCTCAAAAGAAAAGTCTGCACTAACCTTGCAAACTCTTTTGTGGTTTAACTTCCCTAGACTATAAGTCTATGATTCCTGGTATTTAAATAATTTCTAGCTACTATATGTGACTGTGTCACAGCATCTCTTCAGACTTGCGGCAATTTTTAATTGTGACCACAAACCCTAATGGTGACCCTCTGCCCGCAGCTGGCTTTGCTGTTGTAGCACAAAGTCTTTTTGAAGGCATCGTCACCACTGTGGTGATGGGCAAACCATGGCACAAACCAAAGTGTGCCACATGCTTTCACTTGCCTAAGGTCATGCAGCCAGCAAGTTCCAGATTGCAAACAGCCTTTTGCAAAAGCACAGTTTCATGTTAATTTCACATGACTCCATTCATTTGCAGCAGTCTGTCTCTGCCCCCAGCAAAAACAAAGGTTTAAAATCCCTATCTCCAAGCATTATGTCCCTTTAAAAGGAAGTGGAAATGAACTGGCAATTTACTTTTCACAGGTTGAACAAGTGTGACTGGGTATTTTTGCAGGATTTTGTATTAGTTCCCGTGGTTTAACAGAAGGGTTTAAATCCTAATTCTATGAAAATCAAGAGGGGTTTCCTTAAGGCCTGAATGTCTGTTGTCTATCAAACCTGGAGGTGTTTACAGTCTTCACTAATTTTCTACTGGTAGCTTGGCTGTAACTGCTAGGCTTTTTTCTTTAACAGAGGAACTTCTGGCAATGTGTCTTCTTGAAAGTGTATAGTGGAAAAAAAAAATTCATTTGGGGTTGAAATTTTATTTATTATCTCAAATTTCATCCTATGTATAGGATGCTTTACCATAGGGAGCATTTACTTTTGGAGAAAATGATTGGGGAATATCTGAATATTGAGTTTTGTGCTGTAAAAAAATATTTTATTATAGTAATTCTACTAATTCCTCTTAGTGGTAGCAAACAGTCTTAGAAACTTAATCTGTTTCTTCAAGGCAAATTTTAACTTAGTTTATTGCCTCAATGAACTTGAACAGGTCAAAAGAACAAAAATAAACTCCAGCAAGAAATTAACTGGAGTTTCAAAGGAACCTATGGAATGTTCCTCATGACAGAATTAGGCATCAAAGCCCATATCCAACTTCAACATCTTCTCAACCTCTCGTAAGTTACATAGAGTCCAGAGGAAAGGCTTTGCAAATGATAGCATCATTCAGTGGTTTGGGTTGAAAGGGACCACCATCCCCTTCCCATCCCTGCCATGGGCAGGGAAACCTTCCACTAGATCAGGTTGCTCAAAGCCCCATCCAACCTGGCCTTGACCACTTCCAGAGATGGGACAGCCACAAGTTCTCAAGCCAACCTGTTCCAGTGCCTCACCACCCTCACAGTAAAGAATTTCTTCCTAATATCCAAACTGCTCTGTTTGATGCCATTCCCCCTTGTACTGTTACTGCCTACCCCTGGAATCGGCTCCTCTCCAGCTTTCTTATAGAGCCCCTGCAGTTACTGAAAGGCTGCAGTAAGATCACCCCAGGTTGAACAATCCCAATTCTCTCAGCCTCACTTCTGCTCTGGTGATCTCCTCTTTCTAGCAAAAGTCTAATCTGCCCTAACAAAATAACAGCTGGGAAGGTCTGCTGGTGTTCAGCACCCATCGCCACCCACAGCCACCTCCTTTCTCAGCTTCCAGTGTCTCCTGACAACTTCCCACTGCACACACAGTACCACTCTGTGGGGAGAGCAGCTTTTGTGGCACACCCTTGCTTTAGCCCAGCAACATGTAGGCTGAACATAAGGTCACACAAAATACCACTTCAGTGATTTGTAGTCTTCAAAGCTGAGTTTCACGGGCACAGGGAAAGGAGGTCACCAGCTGCATTTGCCGTGCTGATGAGCACAAACAGAAGTTTCTTTCTGTAGGATTGTTAGGTCCTGTTTGCCATACAAAGCATAGGATTTTGATTAAAAGATAAAGTTTTATAATCTCTATTTCCTCTAGTTTTATGTCAGCTCAAACAGTTCATAAATTCTTTCTCATCTCTGGACTTTGGAATGAAATGAGGTAGGAAGTGCAAACTTCCCCAAATACCACTGCAAAAATCCATTCTTTCACTCAGTGTGACTTCTCCAGTCAAATCCTCTTGCTTCTCCTTCCGACCTTGCTTCAGCACAGCATAGCCTGAATCCCATCTGTATTTGTCCTTCTTTATTCCCTTCTCCCTGTACAACCATTTCATTCTACCAATCCCTTTAAAGCTTCTTTTCTTCTATCCAGCTATGTCATCCAACCTGGA